CAAAANCCAAGTATAGTTTACAACATATATAACGAATGTTCCCGCACATAGTGCGGGTGAGAATCTAGTATATATATATATATGTGTACATTGCGATCAATAAAAGCAGAACAATTTCCGCTCGCTATTCTGACAAAGAACAACAACCAAAATTCAATTAGGTCGATTGTGGCTTAGTGATTACAAAAAGAAAAGGTCAAAGTGGAATTGCAATGCAAATAGACGTGTGCATATTTTATCACACAAAATGTCACAAGTTGAGAGATTGTTTGTGGCTTCGGGTTTTCCAAAGTGGTTTCAAAATAGAGTTGCTCAAACCTCTATTTAATATATATGTTAGGATATCAATTCAAGTTCTACATCAGAATTAGACAAAAATGATTTAAAATAAGAAACAAGATACTGGAAGATGTTTGATTGTTCACCATAGTTTTACGAGTTAGGTAGATAAATTTCCGGAGAAAGAGAGCATCGCAAATCATAGTCTAGGACTAAGGACAGGAAAGAAGATTGCATTGTTTCTTGAGTGCGTTGATGAAGTACAATATATAAAAAACTTTGCTGCAATGAGTTTGTTAATACAAACATACTTCTAAGGGCTATCAGAGGGACATAATCAAGATCCTACTCGTCGAGCCAATCCAGGCTGAAGCATTTTTCAGCTGCTTCAACACGAAGGCCTGGAACCGCCTTCTCAACATCTTCCCACATCCACAAAGCCTCTACATCGCATATTACATGGCGTAGAGAAGTCATTGAAACCGCAGAGCTCGGTATGCTCGATACGCTGCATTCTCTCATGTCCAGTTTCTCAAGTGTCCTTAGCTTTCCTATCTGCTCCGGAACAGAACTGAGGCTCATACATTGAGAGATGTCAAGGTACTTTAGACTCGGCAACTCACAGATTTCTACCGGCAGAGATTTCAGCTCCGGGCAACCGTATAGCCTCAGAAGTTGGAGGGCTTTTAGCTTACTCATGTTCTTAGGCAATTCCTTGATCCGGGGACAATGTGTTATGCTGATGGACTTGAGAGAGGTGATTCCACAGACGGTCAAAGATAGTTCCACAAGATCTTCACAGTGATCTATTGTGAGATCATATAAGTTTGGAAAGAGTTGGGACATGTCCAATGTTGTCTGATCAAAACTATTGTTGATCTTGCAAAGGATCAAAGACATCTTGTGGAGGTTTTTAAAAGGAACCGTACTGCTAGAGAGTTCGGGGACATGAACCCTCTCGAGCCAGAGACTCCTGAGTTTAGCCAAATTGGTAAAGACGGAGAAGTCATGTAGACACGCAGAAGACATACCGTTGTTGATAACCACGAGCGCCCTAAGCTTGCCCATCTTAGCAATAAAAGGTGGCAGGACATAGTTGTCCGCAGAGAAGTTTAATATCAAAACCTCTGCCTTCGGGAGTTCCATGTCAAACCATTCCATAGTACTCATTTCCTCTGTAGAAAAAGAAAACAGAAATACATATCAAAACCAAATGATTCTAGTGAAAAACCAAACCAATCCATTCAAAGATCCTGACCTGTGTGAATGGAAACTACCCGGGCATTGTATGGCTCATCATTGTTCCTCTCCCATTCTCTAGGAAGCACCGTCTCTCTTTTCGGCATAAATAACCGCTCTCTTCTATTAACTTTCCCACGGTTACTAAGATGCAGGGCTAGGTCTCTTAGAACATCATGCTGCGTCACAAATATATCATAGTAGCTAGTGTACTGAGCACCAAGCCTGCAGAATTATCCATAATAATTAGTTAAGAACGGTTCAAACCCTTTGAAACCATGGAAGTGGCTATAAGTGATGGGGTCCGATAACCTTACCTTGGATCTTTCACGAGAGTGAGGAGATTCTTGTTTGATAAATCAACAAGAAGAGCAAAAGCAGTTTCTTCCTCGAGATCATGCATCTCAACCCACATGTTGATGATAACATCAAGAGGAATCTTCTTGTCTTCAGGGAATGCACCCATATCCAAGAAACAATCTTTGGTTTTTAGGTCGAGAGTTTCTAGAGTTGCTTCGATTTGAGCAAACACTCGACTCTCATGAGTTTCATCAGCAGGTTCACCTCTTGATAACCTCTTCACTACACCTTCCCAATACTTCTCAGGTTGGTTTTTCAATGAAGCACCGATCACTTTCAGAGCTAAAGGTAGACCTTTACACTCCTTAACAACCTACCAAAACAGAGTCAATATGAGTTTCAGAAGCAAATATTATTGCACTATATATGTATCAGTACTGGAAGACACATTACCTGCTTAACCAAATCTTGACTAAACCCAGAAGGGACGGATTTCTGGTCGAAAGCAGAGAGACAGAAAAGAGATGTTGCTTCATTTTCCTTTAGTAACTCCACATCATAGTTGGCTCCCGAATCTGCAAGTTTAGATCGTGAGACCACAAGCGTTGTGGTTCCAGGAATTTTAAACATTAGCTGGTCCAGAGATTCCCTTGTCCAAACATCATCAAGGATCACTAGCTTCTTCTGCGTTTCACCAATCGATTTCGGAACAGTGGCATCAAAGCCACCATCATAACCAGTAAGAAATCCCCATAGACTTGCCCTCAACTCTTCAATATTGGGAGACTGTGAGACAGTCAGAAACAAAACCTGGTTCCCAAAGTGCCCTGCAAAATCACTAAAAGAAAGCCTTTTTAGCATCTCAGAAACAGAAACAGTCTATCTGACTCTTCCAATACCAAGAACTCAACTATACAACAGTGCACCTGAGGTGGAACATGACAATAATCTAACATACATACATAGAGCATGATCATCAAAATAAATCAACCGTACATGTCATTAAGCAACACCACAAGCAAGCAAGCAAATGAACAAATGATATTGAATCAGAGACATAATCAGGCAAGTATATAATATACCTCGAACTTCCTCGTCTCGCTCAAGCTCTGTAGCAAGAGTGGTTTTCCCAGAACCACTCATCCCTGAGATACCAATAAGTCTTCTTCCTTCATCTTTCAAATTGAACATCATCTCCTTCACTTTCCTCTTCCCCAATTCCAATCCAACCCCTAAATTCCCCAAT